AATAAGCATGCGCCGGCAAACAATACCACAACCCACGATCAGCTACATACTGGAAGCGACTGTGGAAGCGCAATCACCCTACGCACAGGAGGTCAACAGGGTAGCGATGAGAATTCCAGAATTCACGCCAGCCGATCCAGAACTATGGTTCAGCATCCTGGACCGCAATTTCCAGGCAGCAGGCATCACAATGGAGGAAACAAAATTCGGCCACGCACTCACAGCACTTGGCCCGCAATACACCATGGAAGTACGCGATATAGTTATGAATCCTCCTGAGGAAAGGCAATACGAAACGTTACGCACCGAGTTAATAAAACGCCTGAGCGCAACACAGGAGCACAAAACAAGGCAACTACTCGAGCATGAAGAAATAGGCGACCGCAAACCATCGCAGTTCCTGCGACACCTGCGCAACCTAGCCGGAAAAGTCGTGGGCGAACAGGTCGTAAGGACCATTTGGCTCAGCCGCCTTCCGACCTTTCTCAAGCCACATCTAGTCAGCAAAACACAAGACACTCTGGACCACCTCGCCGAAATGGCAGACGCGATTTTAAACGTATCAGAGACCCGGCATTACAATTAGCTGAAACAACACGCAACACACCAGCCGACTATAATATGCAAGTACAACTTGCACAAATGCGCATCCAACAAAACGAATTGCAGCAACAGGTCACAACCCTTGCGCGTACCATAGAACGCATGAGCCTACAACTAAACCACGCAAGACAGAGAGAGTCCTCACGGAACCGATCTCGTTCAAGATCCGAAAGAGGGAATGCCAATACGAAGTGCTGGTACCATCGGCGATTCGGTGCAGCAGCCTGCAAATGCGAAGCACCCTGTTCACACACAATACAGGGAAACGACACGGCTCGCCAGTAAAGGCGGTACTGGACACGAGCCAAAAAATATGCCGCCTGCATGTCACTGACATCAATACAAAAATTGGTTTCCTCGTGGACACGGGAGCAGACTTGTGCGTATTCCCACGCAAACTTCTTCGTGGACCACGCAACAAGTTCGTATACACTCTCACAGCCGCTAACAACACCACGATTGACACGTATGGCATGGAGACATTCACATTGAATCTCGGACTCAGAAGAGCCTTCACCTGGAGATTCATCGTAACCAATCTCGATAAGCCGATAATTGGAGCCGACTTCCTTGCATACTTCAATCTAATGGTCGACCTCGCCAACCAACGTCTCATCGATCAGACAACAGGCTTAGCGATTCGGGGCAAGGCAAGCGACGGACAGTCACGGTGCAAATCAAAACCGTCCAGAAATTCACTCCATACCACAAACTCCTATCGCAATACAAGGAAATCACGCACCCTGAAGGCCGACCAACCGAGGCAAAGCACCAAACGCGGCATTATATAGCGACCATACCGGGACCACCGGTGACTTGCAGGCCGCGCAGACTCGCTCCAGATCGGCTCATGATCGCAAAAAAGGAATTCAACAAGATGCTCGAGCTAGGCATAGCTCGCCCTTCAAGTAGTCCTTGGACATCACCACTACACCTGGTGCCCAAGAAAAACGAAGAGTGACGTCCATGCGGGGATTATCGGGCGTTAAACGCCAGAACCATCCCGGCATACCCGATTCGCCACATCCATGATTTCGCACAAGCTCTCGAAGGCACAGGCATTTACCCCACGATTGATTTGGTGAGAGCTTACCATCAAATCCCAGTCGCGGAAGAGGACATACCGAAGACGGCCATTACCATCCCCTTCGGACTATACGAGTTCCCGTACATGACATTCGGGCTACGCAACGCCGCACAAACTTTCCAGCGCTTCATGGACGAAGCGCTCAGAGGGCTAGAATTTTGCTTCACATACATCGATGACATTCTCGTCGCTTCACGATCAAAAGAAGAACACCTACAGCATCTTCAAACGCTCTTTCAGAGACTCAGCACGTATGGCATCGTCATCAATCCATCCAAGTGCCAATTCGGAAAAAAGCAAGTCGAGTTCCTCGGATACCTTATCACCAAAGAGGGCACTCAATCACTCCCCTCTCGCACTGAGGCCATCCAAAGAGTCCAGCCTCCGAAGACCGCCAAGGAACTTCGACGCTACCTTGGTATGATGAATTTCTACCGGAGATTCATACCAAGGGCAGCAGCAACACAGGCTCCACTCAATGACTTGCTCGCCAACAAGAAAGGCAAACAATCCATCGAATGGTCTCATCAAGCGCAACAAGCATTCGAACAGTCGAAGACAGGTCTAACGCAAGCCACACTGTTAGCACATCCGAACGAGCACGCCAAACTAGCAATCTTCGCCGACGCATCAGAATCTAGCGTCGGAGCAGCCCTTCAGCAAAAACAGGAGGAAGATTGGCAACCACTAGCTTTCTTCTCCAAGAAACTCTCTCCTACTGAGACTCGTTACAGTGCGTTTGACAGAGAACTACTGGCTATCTACTTGGCGATCAAGCATTTCCGGCATATGATCGAAGCCAAAGACTTCGTCATATACACGGATCACAAACCTCTTACATTCGCCTTCCGACAAAAACCGGACAAATGTACTTCAAGGCAGTTCCGATACCTCAGTTACATCAGCCAATTCACAACCAGAATAGAGCATGTAACTGGCAGCAAAAACATAGCCGCAGATACCATGTCCAAATTAGAAGCCATACAATCGGTGATCGACTTCGCTACACTAGCGGACGCACAAGAGACCGATCCGGAAATAGAAGATTTCAAAACCAACAAACACGGGTTGCAACTTCAAAAAGTCAGAATACCTGGGACTGCGCTGCAATTATGGTGCGACACACAAACAGACACACCACGTCCGTACCTTACTAAAGACTTCAGGCGAACGGCATTCCTGACAATACATCAACTAGCGCACCCAGGAATCAAGGCAACAATTAAATTGGTAGCTCAACGATTCGTATGGCCAAACATGAACAAAGACATCCGCAATTGGGCGAAAACATGCCTGGAGTGCCAGAAATCAAAAGTCACCAGACACACAAACAGCCCATGGGGAACATTCAAACCTCCTAGCAGACGGTTCGAGCACATACACCTCGACATCATTATCCTACCAGTATCGCAAGGCCAGAGATACTGCCTCACATGCGTAGATAGATTTACTCGGTGGCCCGAGGCCTTCCCCATGGCCAACCAAGAAGCAGAAACAGTCGCCCGCACCTTTTACAACGGGTGGATCTGTCGATTCGGCACTCCCCTGAGAATCACAACCGACCAGGGAAGGCAGTTCGAGTCACAGCTCTTCAACCAATTGGCTGCATTTACTGGTACCACACATCATCGCACCACAGCATACCATCCACAAGCCAATGGCATGGTGGAACGCTTCCACCGCCAACTCAAAGCTACCATCCGCTGCAGAGCCAATCCGCGGTGGACGGAAGAACTGCCAACTATCCTTCTTGGCATACGAGCAGCTTTCAGGGAAGACCTCCACACTACCATCGCGGAGATGGTATATGGGGAATCCCTACGCCTACCTGGACAATTCCTCACTGAATCGAGCAACCCACAACCAGAGGCCGAAGCTGATTGGCTCAGGGCACTGCGGCTACTCACCGACGCATTACGCCCGATAGAAGGATCTAACCACTCTGCGCAACAACCATTCGTGCACCAAGACTTGCGGACATGCGACTACGTTTTCCTCCGGCACGACGGACCCAAGGGCATCCTTCAGCCACCATACGAAGGACCCTACAAAGTGGTGAGCCGAACTAACAAGACCTACCAATTACAGGTTCGAGACAACACTACCGTCTCAATCGACCGCCTTAAGCCGGCGTACATCCTCAAGCAAGAAGACGCCCAACTAGAAAACAGCGTCGCCCCGGAGCCACCAACAACACCGCAACCAATGGCACGAGCAACGGCAGAGACCACTACCCGATCGGGAAGACGAGTCCGTTTCCCTCAACGGTATATCACGTAATGGACTCCGTCACTCGGGAGGGTCCTGTGGCGGTCACCGCCACTCTGGCCCAGCGACGAGCGCGCCGGCGCGCGCCGCCGCGCTGTCACGCGCCGACACCGTGGGCTCGCGCACGGGAGTGACTCACACGCTCGCCACGAGATGGTCAGCCGTTCGACCGTCTACTCGTGCGCGGAAAGCAGTGGGCCCGCCCGCGCACGAGAGTGATTCACGCGCTCGCCACGAGATGGCCAACCGGTCAATCGTCTACTCGTGCGCGGAAAGCAACATCACCGCTATATAAGAGCGGCTATAAGAACCATCGATCGACACTACCCCTCAGTGCGCACTGGGGCCCGTACACGGCTTAAGTAGCGCTGAGGTCTGACCGCTTGCGGTCAATTATACAGCCTTTTTGCGGCTGGCGTTACCGACCACTAATAAGTCGTATTCTCCCCTCGGTGGCCGTTCACGCCATAGAGGGACTCCTCAACCCTCCGACGCGGCCGTGCACGCCGTGCCTCCTCTCGCCTGAGCTCTCCTCAGCGGCCGTACACGCCGTTGAGCGAGACTCCCGGCATCCCTGCCGAGAGGCAACTGAACGAGCCGCTGCCTCCGACTCCGGAGGAAAGCCACGCCGCGGAGACGACGCAGGAGTACGCCATCCAAGGACCAGGACTCCGCCACCACGTCGCAGCCGCCTCTGCATCGCCGCCGACCTCGCAGCCGCATCCGCCCGAGCAGCCTGCTGGCAGCCATCACCGCGGGAAGGCTACCCCCGCCGCCAGGACCAGCACAGAGCGGACTTCCCGGCTGGGAGGACAGCCAGACATCCGGGCACCGACGCATCCCGGAACGTCGGCAACATCGCCGACCAGGGCCGCGCCGCCAACGCCGAGGAGCGACCATCGTCCCACGGCCTTTAGGGGTAGAACAGCTAGTCGAGCTGTTCGGCGCCCTCTCGACATCCTCATCATCTGCAGCCAGCCACGCGTCCGGGCCAGCGTCACGGACACCACCCGAGCGCAGCTCCGCGGACTTGCCCGCCTACACCAGACCGTAGCATCAACTTTCCGGCCCGTAGGGACGCACGCAGCGAGTCATCTACCCCGCAACGGGCGAGGATCTCCGTATCGCTGCCCGCCTGCTCAAGGCTTTACCGGACTACGTCCTGAGCCCACCAGAAGTCCGTGGCGCCTCATTCCGTTGGACTTGGGGAGTATTGTCAGGGGAACGCCCCGTCGAGACCACCGGCAGGCTTCGTATCACGCTGCCTCTCAGACCGAGGCCACTCCATCCGTCGGAAACGCGCTGACGACCCGTGCCAGGACCACTCACCACGGCGGGGTTGGCCGCGAGAGGCGAGCGCAGCGCTTCCGAGAGGAACTTCGCGACCTAGCCACCTCCGGATGCACACCGAACACACAGGGAACGCAAACCCCCGCGCCACGCTCTTGATGTTCCCGTCGTCTTTCTTTGTACTTTGGAAATATAAAATGTACTTTTGAGGTTTGCCTTATTCTGGGAACCAGCACGAAAACCTTCCTTTCTCTGTCGCCCCTTTCCGCTTTGCATGAACGAGAGCAGACAGCGGGCTGGTTGCGCCGGAACTGTATCAGATGCTCAACTACTACATTGGTGGACACACGAACCACCACGTTGGTGTACTACACATAAAAAACTTCCCCATAATCTTATAGTGCAAGTCTATTTACACATAAATGAATTATTTATTTTCTTACAAAAAACGTTCTGTAGCTTTCGTCAGGCAAATATTCTGATTATAAATATCATAATTATATAGTTCTCTTGCAGTATTTTGGCCGTAAATGGGTGAAAAAGAATTCATCTCTGATAGAGATCTTCATAATCTCTCCTGCCGACTTTTAAGCACCCTGCGAGATCTCTTTCCTCTTAACCAGAATTTTTAAGTTTCACAAGAAACTCTCAAAAATTGTAAAATATTTAGAACGGAATCATAAACAGATTATATAACACCCATAGACTTACTATGAGTTCTTTTTACCGGTTCTTTTACGAACTATTAATTTAAAATTAAATCTATAATAACAGTAAGTAAACATAATAGTAAAACAGCAAACATTATCCTTCTTTTGTTATCCTCAGTAAAGTCAAAACGGTCGATAATATCAACGTTTTTCAATTATCCTCGGACCCCCCCCTTTGGTCGCAAAAATTTATCCATGATTGTCGGTCTTTGATAGCAAAGAGAAGTCTGAGAGTGGTCATGGACGCGTTTTAGCTGTATCCTTACTCGCGTAGGTAATGTGCACGTTATTGTGGTTCCCTTCCGTGCTAGACGCAAGAGTAATAAAGATGGACAGTGTCCATATCACGTGTCCATATCACCCCTCTTTATCACTCTTACGTCTAGCACGGAAGAGAACCACAAAAATATACACATTACCTACGCGATAAGGGTACAGCTAAAACGCGTCCATGACCACTCTCAGGCTTCTCTCTGTTGAAAGCATAGACATAGTATAGATAGACCGAGTATACTGTATACCAGGCAATGGGCAACATCTGCGGGTGAGAAGAAACAACACCTGATTTTTTCTCTCTCTCTAATAGAATAAGATGGGGGAAACATTAAATGGGAACTGTATATATGATCTCTATCATATTAACTACATATATATATATATATAGTGACTATTACACACACACACACACACACACACACACACACACACACACACACACACACACACACACACACACACACACACACACACACACACATATATATATTCTTATAAATATTACTATTATTATTATATTATATGTATCGTACTATTACTATTATTATTACATAATTATAAATTATAATTATTAAGTTAGTAAGTTAAGTAAAGAAGACGAAAATTCATTTTAAATCATTCGTTTTCGTCGTGTTTTGTCACGTAATCGAAGGGCTCTCCGAGCCAGCCTTTTCGTTAAAATGTTTACGTTAGGAATATGTTTAGTGCGATAAGTCTTTTTTTTATAAACATAGACTTGGAACTTGGAACACTCCTTTGTCTCCTCTATTTACAGATTCGAAAATCATAAGAAAATACTTTATAAAATATTATTTTCCTTATCGCATTGACTTATCGTTAATTATTATTCATACAAATTGCATTATAACGGGTTATTTATATAAATAAAAAAAATGGATTTTTGCCTTACAATAATGATATAAGTCGGTATTCATAGTAAATTCGCTTAATCGAAGGGCATTATGCCCATCCCTCCGTTCTGCATCGGATCCTGCCCAATAGGAAGATTGCGTATATATATCCATCGGAAATAATCGGAAACGTTCGTGAGCTACGTAATGTGCACAGTTTGCTATTTTGTACACATAAAAGCACTAGTAAACATGTTTTAGCACAGCAAGAAAAGGAAACAGAAAAGAAAACATAGAGAGTCACAGAAATCTGTGTATATAATCTTTTGATTACATATTAGAGAGTTGTCCTAAATGTTGAGAAGTTAGAGGTTTTAGGTTATGTAAGAGGAGCATGATTTATTTTCCAATTAATTAACTGTATATTCGCGACATGTCAGCGATGGGACGCAGAATTTTTGTAGAATTTAGCAGAAACAGATTGAGTAGTTTATCAAACTGGTTTATTGCCGCGAGATTTAGCAGCGGCGCACAAAATGCGGAAACCGCGAAGAAGATTGCTCCGGCCCCGCAGCCAGGGAAAATTCAAGCTGCATTATTGAAAAAGTTCTCGAGTCCTCTCGTCATTGAAAATTTACAATTACCTAAAAGAACATTAGAAACTGAAGTAGGCATCACAAAGTCAATTAAGTTGTCAATTAAGAACTCAACAAGAATTAAATATGATATATTAATTACAGTTAATATTTTGCCAATAATACTTAGAATATATGCTAATAATAATTGCAATTTCAATTTTTCTTTTTCTGTTCTTCAGTGTTATATATTTAAATATTAATGATAATATATCTGATAATATATATTAATTTAATTATATTGATTTCATTATTAATATTGTATTAATTTCCTTAGGTTCTCATTGATGTTCATTATTGTGCATTGAACGTTTCTGATGTTCTTCTCAGTCAGAACTTATATACATTTGAACCAAAATTACCAATGATTCTTGGTTATGAGATTGTTGGAAATCTAGTCGAAGTTGGTACAGAGGCAGAAAAAATGGTTATAAGATTGGAGATAAAGTCATTGCTCTTAACAAAGAACGATATGGTGGCTTGGCTGAAAAGTGTTTGGCAGAAATTCAGGTAGAATATAATTAGAATTTTCTGAAATGCTTAATAACAGTATTTTAATAATAAATCTTTTTAATGTAGGATATATGGAAAGTATCTTCTATGAAATCAGCTTCTATGGATCTAGTAAGTGTCTTAGATAATTATATCACTGCTTTAACTGCATTAGAAAGAAAAGTCAATCTTAATGAAGATGACATGATTTTAATAAACATTGGCATAAGTGGCGTTGGTCTGGCAGCTGTGGATCTCGCAACAAATGTCTTTAGGGCCAAGGTATTTTTTTTATATATTCTTTAGGTCTAAAGCTTGCTTTAGAAAATAGGAAGATCCAAGTTAGAATTCTAGCTAAAGTGACATTTTTTTATAATGAGATATTCTTTAGAGGATTTTAATGGATATTTAATTATCAAGGTAAATTAATTATCGAAATAAGCCGGACATATAATTCTAACTAATCATTATAAACTTATTACATAATGGCATGTAATCAGAGTAATCAGGTAGAAACACAACTTATTGAATTTATATACAAAAAAATTACATGATCAAACCATGATCTGATATGCCTGTATACATTTTTAACATTAAATATTTTGTTGATTGATAAATGTTTAGATACTTTATACTTATTCATTTCTTTCGTTTGTGCAATATTATTGATTATCTTACTTCTAAAATACCAAAGAATTGAGTTTGAATAGAATACTGAAGATCTCACAAGTGTAATGTTAACTGCTAAATTATTGTACAAAGGTCATTGGAGTTTGCGCTACAGAAGATGGGGCTGACCGAGCTCGAAAGATAGGGGCGTTCATGGCTCTCAAATACAAAGATAAGAAACTGTTGAAACAGATCGAAAAAATCGCAGCTGAACGAGATATCAAAGCCATCTTCGAAGATGGGGATGGAGAATATTTAAAAAAAATATTGGGTTGGTAAGTTTTAGATAGATAGATTTAATATATAAGTAGATACTTGATATAAACTGATTTAGACAAGACTATATAAATTTCGGTCTAATAAAATACAAAAGTACATTGATAGGATATGATTTTTTTTTGTAGTTTTACCAATATTTACAAAGATGCAACGTTAAAAGATTTATTGCGCAATGACAGTTTCGCCGTGGTGGTGCATCACTTGTCTCGCGAAGGTATACAATCTCTAATTTAAAATATCTGTAACTCAATGTTGGACGATATATTCACTTGTAGCCTCTGTCATGAAGGGCGCGTTATCATAGCTGGCACAGTGGCGAGTACAACGGATGTTTGTTCAGAAGTGCAAAAAGGTTCCTTCAGCGTCACTGGTTTTAATCTGACAGAATACAAAAAGAAAAAGCCTGATATATATCGGTATGTTATACACATTCCTGATTTTTTTATTGTTTGTAAATATCTAATTAATATTAATTTCATTTAATCTTAACTTTAGCCAAGCGGGAGATGATATCTTACAATTCCTCGAAGACGGTCTTATTGCACCATCTTATTCATTGATCGCCGGTATGCATAAAGTCAATGATGCTTTACAGTTCATCTCTGAAAATGTATTTCCAGGAAAAGTATGTAATAATTATGATTCTTCAATTCTTTCTCTCTATAAAGGATGATCCATTATAATCTTTTTACACAATTATCTTGAACTATTCGTTATTCAAGAAAAATTTTCAAGCAAGATTTACTCTGTTTCGAAGGGGATCTTATGATGGATACACACTTTTTCTAGGAAATATCTCTAAGATTTCAAGCTGATCTTTGTTTTTTAAATAAAACTATCTTTTCTTGTGTAATTACGAGATGAGTTCATTTTGACATGAAAAAATCCACTTAGGGCTCCTGAGTATTCAGCTAAGAACTCCGCGTTAACAGTAGTGACGTACCGGTGAAAAATAGAAGCTCATCTTTTCATCTTTGTTCATCTTTATATAAATGACGTGTTGACAACGAAATTTTATGCTACGCTTTATTACATTATTGTTTACATTTGTGCTTAATCGTAAAAATGTGAGTTGTTTTGTGCTTATCAAATTCGTAAAAATCGAACACTACAAAAGTTATCTTTCGATTTTATATGTGAAAGCATACTTTTCATTTCTTTCAACAGCTTCAAATTGTGTGTTTTCTGCCGGCATTGGCTTCATTTCACGTGCCTTTTATGACTATTTATTGATTGTCAGGAGGGAAAAAGATTGTAGCATTTGGTTTTTACAAGTGTCTTAAAGCCATCTCAAATGTTATTTTATTGCAACATCTCTTTATTTGCAGGAAAAGTGTAGCAAATTTTTACGTATCGTTTCTCGCTTATAACGTCACGATTCCAATATGACCGCGGCAACTATTCTTAATGTTGCGAGTATTACAATTTCTGAATCTTTTAAGCAGCATCTATTATAGTATCATTTTAGAAAGCTTTGTCAAGCACGAAGTCCATGATTGCACATTATTACATGATTCGAGTGCCAACAATCAGGAAATTTTGCACTGTATAACCGTGCAACTGCTATTATTTTGCCCATATTCTGTCAAAATCAAAAACATTGATAATTTTGCTAAACATATAATCTGTCATCATAAATTATATCTATTGAAATGAAGAACACATGATACTAATCATAATAATATTGATTCTTTCGAAGCAACTAGCATAATAGCAGCAGATGTCTTGGGTAAACATTAATAACGATAAAGCCATCATTAGAATTTGCAATTAATGTTTATGATTGAATGGATGATTTACTGCGATAGGAAAATATATATTGTGGACATTCAACGAAAGAAGATAATATTTAAACTATCATAAATGACCTTGGAAGATCAATATATCATAGATTAATAAATTTATCTTGAAATAAGTTACACACTTAAAAGAATACACAAAAAATACTATCCAAATTACTATTTCATTAAAAAAATAAAGATCACCTTGACACTTTCTAGAGAAAACTATTCATCATAAGATATCTCTTTCGAAAGATAGTTGAATTTACTTGAAACATTTTTCTAAATAATGAATTTTGAATAATGAGTTTGTGAGATATTCAAATGAAAAAATTATAATAGGTACTCTATGTATATATATATATATATATATATATATATATAC